ATGTACCATGGATGTACCATGGACCAAATGTACCATGGACCAAATGTACCATGGGCCAAATGTAATGTGGAGGTGACTTTGATTGGTCTTCATTAGTGTGTGTGTGTTTTGGAGAACTCCCAGTGATTAGCGCCACACAGTGGCCTGTGACCCTGACATGCTAACATGTACGGCGTGTACATGCCCCGACACTCCCCCCACCCCCCAAACAACAAGGTCGACTGTGGGTGGCCTGCAGGCCCTGTGGGACTGATGAGAGTCCCAGGTGATCTGGCCCACAGCCAATGGTTTTGCAGGAGGTCCATTAGTCACCGGGGGGAGGGGGGGTTGTTGAAGAGGGCATGTCTGGGGCAACAATATCTGAATGTTGGCCCGGCTCCACTGTGTCCAACTGAGACCTTAGTACCGATCAGTGAGAGCGAGTTCTTCTCTAAGGAACCCATTAGAACCAGAACGTTGGCGTACTCACTGGGACAAACACCACCCTCTAGTGTTAACAATGTGAACTACTTATATATAATGTTTTCTTCATTAGTCCTTTGATCACTGCCTTTGGTGTCTGTTGACAGCATTATTTTTTTTTTTTAAATTTATTTCCTAAGTCGATTTGAAACTGAACTCTGTCACGGTTTGAACTGCGTCCACGTTGACGTCACCGTCTCAGGTCCGACTGTCGGTGACCAGGCGTCAGAAACAGAACAAACTTGTTTTATCTTCACGATATTTAGTCATCATTACTAATTAGTAGAAATGAATTAGTAATGATTTAGACTGAGTGATGACCTGGTGACAGCTTCAGACCCACCTGACTAAATCTGTGTGGCAGATGTCGGGGTGGGGAGGGGGGTGCTGTAATTGAAGCACAGATATTTAAAAGACTGATCTGCACTTTGTCACTCCTATGTCCTGTTTATCTCCTACACACACACACACAGCCCCCCCCCTCCTCCCCCACTGACCTACTTCTCAGCACCAGTGGTGATGAAGTCGTGGACTGAATGAGAAGTGGCAGCAGTTCTTCATGTATACTGCACTGTACTACAGTGTACTGCACTGTAGTACACTGTACTGTAGTACAGTGTACTACACTGTACTGCAGTACAGTGTAGTACACTGTACTACAGTACAGTGTACTACAGTGCAGTACACTGTAGTACAGTGCAGTATACTGTAGTTCACTGTAGTACACTGTACTGTCTGTAGTACACTGTACTGTACTGCACTGTACTGCAGTACCGTGTAGTACAGTACAGGGTACTACACTGTACCGCAGTACAGTGTAGTACAGTACAGGGTACTACACTGTACCGCAGTACAGTGTAGTACACTGTACTGCAGTACCGTGTAGTACAGTACAGGGTACGACAGTGTACTACAGTGAACTACAGTGTACTACCCCACAGTTGAATCCTTTGGCCCACTTTCCCTGGACCTGGTTGGATGTGGTCCAGCTGGACTGGTGTTGAGTGACGACCAGCCGCACGTGGGCCTCAGTGGGAGAGTGACGACACACACACACACACACACACATTTACACAGTACAGGAGGTTCATGGGGGGGGGGGGGGGGGGTTTCCTCCATTAGGCTGCAGTAGATTAACTTGGTCTACACCACGTGGACTTGGCCCACGACGTGTTTTATCTCAGAGCAGTGAAAACAAGCAGCACAGCTGGTTTTTGCCCCCCCGACCCTGACCCCCCCCATAGAACCGATGGACCGGTCAGTCAGCGAGATGAACTGGTTTTCATGGTGGTCGTCCCTGACCGGCGACTAATCCGACAGTTGGTCGTCAGTAACTCCTGGTAACCAACTGGAATAATGACTGACAAAAAGACGAAGTTTGAACTTTTATTATTTTTATTATTAACTGTTGAAGCTTCATCTCTGCTTTGAACCAACGTTCTTTGATGGATCTCAAACGTTTCTTCGTTTACGTCGTGTGTTTCTAGTTCAGGTTTTGATCATTTTGATGAAAAAAACAAAAAAACAAAAAAACGACGACCGTGTCGTATTTCTCGGAGCAGAAACGGTGAACGCTGAGGTCCAGGTGTTTTTCCCAGAACTGTTCACAGCAGCGTCAACAGTTCTGTCTCCCTCCTGGAGCAGATTTACCATCGGTTCTCGGAGCCTTTTTTGCGTTCTTGCTGCTCGTCGTTCCAGAGCGACGGACTGAAACGGCACAGCTGCCACAGCTCAGGGACCGTATCAGAACTCTGCTGTGTCTGTACGCCGTCAGTGACGGGTCTGTGGTGCAGCGGCGTTTCTGTAGCTGACGGACAGAATCAGACCGCGGTCAAAAGCCAAGCTTTTTTTTTTTCTTCATATTTTTTCCAGTGTTAACGACATGTGAAGGACCAGAGTTTTCATGAAAAATTAACAACCAGATATTTTTAGACGCCGTCGTCGAAGGTTTTTACTGTGAGGCAGTGATGGAGGAGGTGGAAGGAAGTGAATCCATGTCGAGAGTTTTAATATGAACTAACAGTCACCTGTGTGTCGTCAAGAATGGGACGATACGATACGTATCGCGATACGGGACAACGGTATGACATATTGCGATGCTATAGTCACGATGATATATGAGGATATATTTCAGTGTGTGGATTGGTTTTCTCGCAGCTGTACAGACCTGTGACATCACCTCACTCCGTAGGGCAGTGTTTCCCAAACTTATTTTCTGGGGATCCATATTTTAAAAGTCACGAATTTTTGCGATCCGAAGTCAATAGACATTATTCGTAAACTCCTGGGAAATATGATGAGAGACGACCCCAAAAAAAAAACAAAAACTTTTTTTCCAGTCTTTGGGAAACAGTGCCGTAGGTCACACATTAACGTCCATACACAGTTGGAGAAGGAAGACGAGGCTGGGGGGAGGGGCTGAGGTGGGGGGGGGTCTTACCGTCCGTCTCGACTCACCGCCCAGGCTCCATTGTACGTGACGGACAAGAGGGTTCTTTGTCAGAGCGAATCTGCAGCAGGAACCAGGACGTGACGGCCGTCGTCTTTGACTTTTTTCTTTTTTGATTTTTAAAACCCAGTTGTACTACACTACTACTTATTGGTACTCCTCTCATTGCGTATTTGCCGTGTACTTTTACTTCAAACTCCTGACCGGCAGCCGCTGCAGCTCCTCCGTGTTCCTGTGCTTTTTCCAAACAATTTACAACTACTGGAAACATGAGTTCCTTCACAGGGACTCATTCTTTCCGAGGAACCGTTGACCACACACAGTGTGTGGAAATAGAACCGTCTGTCCTGGTTGGAGTTTGGCTCAACATTTGGGTCGTGTCTGTAACGATGGCGTTTTTCTCTCTTTTTCAGATCATGCCCCCAAGATAGCGACCTGAGCATCCTCTCCGCTCCCCCCCCTCCCCCTCCCCAGCCCCCCCCCCCCCCCCCTCCCCTCTCCCGCTTCCTCCCC